TACTCGAAATGGAAGTAATCTCAACAATTATGAAACAAGAGATTCCTCGAAACCCAACTTTTCTTCGTAAAGAAAGGCTATGCCAAAGTTAATGAGAAAAATTCAACTACCAACTACCTTATAGCTTTAATAAATTATCTATAAATTATCTACTGGTAGTCTCGAAAAGCCTACTTATTATGGAAAAAAAGAGAGTCTTGTTCTTATTTCTGTTTGGATATTTTGCCATGAAACAAAAATCACCTCAAAGCTGAGCTACCAGAAAGCAGGTAGTGATTGAATCTTCCGCACCCTTCAACATCAAACGACGGATGTTCTATCTTTCTGCCTCGTATCCTTGAGCACGCATGGGCATTCCACGACATGTAATTCCTCTAAGTCCTCCTACCAATATGACCAAGTTGCGAAAACAAGGTCAAACAACTTGTATACAACGAAAGGAGGCTGCGACCACACAAAAGGCCAATCCCTTGTTAGTTTGACATTGGCATAGCTTTGGTTGCGTTTGACGACGTGAGTACAAGAGATTCGAACTTCACCAGACATGAATAAAACGTCGTGTCCTGACGATGTCCACCATAACTACCGAATCCCTCCGAGTCGCAGCGTCAAACTAAACAAAAAGCATGCCAAAATGGGCCGGAAAATGGCATACCTCCCAGCCTGGATACCGAGCTATCGACACTCCCGTTCTATCCGTTTCTCTCCGCGTCTCCGTCTCTTCGTCTCTCCGCCTATCCGACATTATTTGGCCGAAAAGTTTAGGTCTCTTGGCCTGGCTAGAATAACGGAAGGAAAGGAATGCACAGTCGTCTACACGCTCTACTGCATCGCGGCCTGTTGAGGAATACATGCACACCTCATTTGCATTCCTGTCCAAGTAGCTATCCCAAATCGGATGGTGGATGCCGCCCAAAATATGCACAAATCAGTTGGCAACCCTCCGCCTACAGCCACGGCCACAAAACACAACCACAACCACAACCACAGCCACAGCCACAGTCGACTGGGCCGGATATCAGACGAGGACAGGCCTAACTTTAAGGTCGGCCGAAGAGTGCATAGCAGAGCCAGACGAGACCTCAAACCAGACCATCGGACAATCTGGCCTGAGCAACAATGACCTTAGGCTGGTTCAGACGCTTAAACGGGCGGCCAACGGTCGCCTGAACAGCAGGGCAGAGTTAAGACCCACACTGGCACGAACATGCACGCAGATACAACTACCACAAACACCTTGTTCGTGTGCGTCTGTCTGCTTTTGTGATATATATATATATATGAATGCTATAACATCTATCTATATATAT